AATGAGTCTCATGATACCCCACCATTAATGTGCCACAGGTAACAGGTAGTTTTCAATTCTCTAGGTAACATTTGTACTTTACAAAGCTCCACAGAGGGAGGGCTTTGGAATATAAACCTTTAGCATGTAGTGCAATCCTTTCATGCTGGGAAGCATTTTCCAAATGGAATAACCTCACAAGCCCTGTGAGACTTTACTGCTCAATTTTAAAAGCCATCGACCGACTGATAAATAAACTGGTCTCCCAGCAGGCTCTAGGCAAAAGGGATGAGCACTGGAGAGTAACTCACAGGAGTAATGCTCAGCCTTCAACGTGCAGGCATGACCGAGGCACCCCAGCTTGAAGATGAAGACTAACAAGACAAAATTTCGCTGGAGGCTAGACCAACAAATATTTTCAGTAAGCAACCACCAATTAAAGAGTTTTGTAAAGAATCTTTATTTACTTGATATATAACAAGAGACGATAAAGTTGTAAACATACCATAGTATCCCATTCACAGAACTGTTTTATACAGCGGAGATTTGTACAAGAGGACAGACATCTAAAAAAACACATAAGACTCCCGAGTAAAAGACTGAACAGACCTCCAAATGGCGTACATAATATTATATCCTCTAGGACTTGATTAACAGCAGGTGTGCTACTGCTTGAACTTGTTGAACCCTGGAACCATGAATAAAATGTGCATTCACCTGTACAAAATTCTGTGTTGCAATAAAAACTTAAATCCATCCTTTTGTCATAGCAAAAGGAGAGAGAGAGGGATGCAGTCGTGAGAAATAGAACCCTTTGGCCAACAGTAGTCTTGCAGACCTCTGGAGAAGTCTTTAATAAAATACCGGGGGGGTGGGTTTATTTACAGGGTGGGTGCAGGGCTGGAGGTGGACCTCAGGCCCGCTCTGGGGGGGCAGCGGGTTTCCGCAGGCCGGTGGACTTGCAGGCCAGCAGCTTCTCCACCATGGTGCGCGCGTAGCGCAGCCGGCTGGCCAGCTCCCTGCAGCAGCCATGCTCCTCGATCAGGCTGAGCTTGTACGTGCGGAACTCCCTCTTCTCGTCGATGTACGTCACCGCCCCCATCAGCGGGCAGAGGATCAGCTTGGTGTGGTCCTACGGGACACGGAGACAAGGTGCATGAGGTCACTCATTCCCACACAGCATCTCCCCAAAGT